TGCAGACAGTCACTCGTTCCAGCAGGGTGATAAGGTCAAGTGTCTGTTGGAGATGGAGATCCTCAGACAGATGCAGGAGGGTCACGGCGGCTGGAACCCAAAAATGGCAGAGGTGGAAATCAGTTGTGTTCACTTTTTAATAAATGTTCCTGATTTCATCAGTGCACTTTATATCAAAGAAGATTTTGTACCTGTGTGTTTTTGTAATTGTAGTCATGAGTTGTTTTAATTATTATAAATGTTGTTCGTAATAACTTTCTTCACATTTAAAATGTCTTTGCATTGACTTGTACATGGACCTTGGCCTCTTTTTATGTCTACACTGGTGTTTTTAAGAAACCAAACAATGGAATTTAATAATAAAATACTTTATTATTATTATTATTTTATTTTATTTTTTTATTCCTATTCCTATTCCTAAGACTGTAATCTGTTACTTATGTAATACTGCTGCACAATAAATTAAAAGTAAATGTAAAAATTTGTATTTCATGGTTAGCATATTCATAATTTTTTATAGTAAAATTGCAATACTTATATCTGAATATCTTCACTAGTGAATGGTAAACGCTTTCTTTTTGGCAGAAAACAGGTTTACAAACACATCATTACAAATCTAGTTAAGTGTTAGTGTGCTGACAAAAAATAATGAAAATAATGCAACATTGCAAAAAAAATAACAATTTCTACAATTTTTGTACTAATTTTAAAATAATTATGGTGATTTTTTTTTTGTGAGATTGACCTATCAAAATGAGTTAAAACATGCATCTTACAGGGTTTGTCGGTGTGAGCATTTCACTCACATTTGTGACTAAAAATACATGTGTGCAAACTCTACAATGTTTCTTAAGATTGTATAAAAACAGCTTACTTGTCATTTTAGGGGGTTTTATCATTTGGGGAAGAAAAGTCCTGCAATATGCATAGTTTTTTTTTCTGGTTAATATTGGTAATTTGATACCACACAGTTTACACAAACTGTTTCTGGAATTGAATTCAGTGTAAATGTTTGTAGTTTTTGTTTGAGCTCTCCTTCTATTCCTTCATTTAAAAAAGCACACATTGTTTGACAAATTTTCATTGTCCACCTAAAGTTTGTCTTAGTCTTTCAAATTAGTCTTAAGGCCCGTTCACACCAAGGACGATAACTATAAAGATAATGATAAAGATATAGTGCTAAAAATCGTTCTCAATATTAAAGAATAGCAGAGTCCACACCACAACTATAACGATAAAGACAAAGAGAAACGATATCGTTGGAATCACTTTCAAAACAATTTTGCTCCAGCTGATGAACGATAAAAAAATTGACAGCCAATCAGAATCCATCCTGCTGTAACGAGCTCAAGAATTTAAAGCGGCAGACGCGCGGCCACGGAGGCAGCCATCAGCGTCGGCGCCATCGCGATTGTCACTCATAAACAGACGATATCGTTTGCTGGTGTGGACGCTAATATCGTTATCTTTATAGTTATCTTTATATTTATCATTCTTGGTGTGAACGGGGCTTTAAGCCCTATTTGGACGGGACTAGTTTTCTAAACTTCATTTGAGTTTCGATTCTTGTCACCCAACGTTTGCGATTTCAAAATATTGAGAAAATTGCCTTTAAAGTTGTTCAAATTAAGTTCTTAGCAATGCATATTACTAATCAAAAATTAAGTTTTGATATATTTACGGTAGGAAATTTACAAAATATCTTCATGCAACATGATCTTTACTTAATATCCTAATGATTTTTGCCATAAAAGAAAAATTGATAATTTTGACCCATACAATGTATTGTTGGCTATTGCTACAAATATACCTGTGCTACTTATGACTGCTTTTGCGCTCCAGGGTCACATATCAAAAATGCACGCGGTAAGAGCATCTATGGTAGTTCACGTTGGCCAAAACACACAAGGAAACGCGTTATGAAAAAAATATTGTCGCAATCACCGACTTTCACGTTCGGACGGGATTAGTTTTCTCAGAGGATCACTGAGTTTGCCGAAAAACAGTAGGTAATTTGCTCTGGAGTTTTTACAGAGAGTGTGTGAGAAAAACACAGACATGGCAGATTCAGACGGGATTAAAATCAATTAAAAAGTACATCTGTGAAACACAAATTTCTCTGACGACCCCCTGTAAAACTAGTCCCGTCCGAATAGGGCTTTAGTCTTGTTTTGTGAAGTGTTTGATATCAGTGCTTGTGTTTGACTGTGTTGGCAGTACATCTCCAGAATCGGCACCGTGCACAGGATAACGGACCGCGGCGACGTGCGAGTCCAGTACAGTAACAACATCCGCTGGACCTTCCACCCCGGAGCCCTGACCAAGGCAAGCCCATCCCTCACAGAAACACGGCGTCTGCTGTCCTCACCTGTGCACTGCTTGTTCATCAGGCTATTTATACTGTGAGCTGTATATATTTAGTTCCTCTCAAGCTCATTCGCAGACCGTCCCTATCGTGAACTGCTTTGTTTGTACAAAAAGCGAGCCGTAAATAGATGGCTGTGGCTGTTTCTGTCTGCTTAAGTGGCAGATTGTGAGGTCTGGGCTGGCGATTAGCTGCAGCCTCAGACGACTTTGCCTGATTGGTCTTTAGGAAGTGTGTGTTCCTGTAATTGAGTGGTGTGTGTGCAGGTGAACACGTTTGCTGTGGGTGAGCTGGTGAAGGTGCTGGATGACATTGACAGTGTGAAGAGACTCCAGGTGGGCCATGGAGAGTGGACAGACAGCATGGCTCCAGTAGGTTCCTCCTCAACACACACTTTACAGTCAAAATCACATTCATTTGTGCCAGTGAATAAACTAACTTCCCAATCCTTTTGTGACTGGTTTTAAACAAGATGTTTTTAAAAAATATATTACCTGAATGTATTTTTTAGATTTTTTTTTTTGTCACTCTCAGAAAAAAAGGTACAATTGTTGTCACTGGGGCGGTATCTTTTCAAAAGGCACACCTATGTACCAAAAGAGTCCATAATGGTACCTTAAAGGTACATATTAGCACCTAAAGTGTGCATATTAGTACCTAAAAGGTACAAAAGTGTAACTTTTGAAAAGGTACTGCCCCAGTGACAGCTGTTGTACCTTTTTTTCTGAGAGTGTAGTATTAACCTTAAATGTCTTCTATAGCTTCTTTTTAATTGTATGACTATTGTTATTCTGTTTTCGACAGAAAATATATCCTTGCTTGGGCATTAAAAGATAGATAGACAGACAGACAGACAGACAGATAGACCGACAGATAGAGATAGACAGACAGACAGACAGACAGACAGACAGACAGACAGACAGACAGA